ATTTTTATGGGAGTCATATGTTTATGATACTAATACAGTTATGTCCTTCATCATTTTTTCCCAAGTTTTTTTTTAGTGTTTTGCAGACCTTGGAGACACAGGTGTGTGCTCAAATCCTGCTTTCTCACTTGCTAGCTCTGATATATTGGACAAGGACCTCTGTCTGCAAATTAAACTTTGCAGCAGCAAGAGGAAGGATCAAACTCTCTCCCTCCTAGGGCTGTCAGGATTAAAAGGAGCAATGGTTAAGAAGATTATGAGTGGCCGGGCTCAGTGGCCCACGCCTGTCATCCTAGCACTCTGGAAGGCCGAGGCAGGAGGATCGCTTGAGCTTAGGAGTTGAGATCTAACCCCATATGCTGCCAAGAATTCTGCAGCGAATTTGTGGTGAGAAACCACAGGATATCAATGTTCTCTTCTGTCTGTCACGGACACTGATTAGGTTAACTGCTTTTGGACCTTTTAGGGATTCCAGCTTGTAGACACAGGCTTGTTTCTTTGACCTCGTATTTGTCAGAGCAGGCTAGCTGCCATAACAAAACAGCCCTCAGATAAGGAAAAGTTTATTTTGTGTTTGTTTTGCAGCCAGCTGGGGCGGACAAGGTGTGCTCTGCTCCATGCGGTGTCTAAGGGATCCAGGACCCTTCCAATGTTCCATTGAGCCTTCTTCTAGGACGGCCCTTCTAAGCTTAGACTCCTTGGGAGCGTGGAGCCCTCCATGCTGAAGGCAGCCACTGTGTGTGATGCCTTAAGTTGTCTGCTCTGCACCTAGGATAGCGTTAGCTATGTGCCATCCTTGGGAGAGTTGAGAAAAGAGTCACTTAATTCAGTTCAGTAGAGTTTTATTTCCTTGTGGGACTCCATTTAAGATAGGGTGGGAGGGATCTTGTTCTTTGCCCAACTGTTAGAACAAGAGAGAGTTGAAAAAGCACATTCCTGCCATCTGCCCAGCCTGGAGGTGACGCACATCACATCTCTTCAACCCCCTTGGTGACAATACGTATGGCCCTGCCTGGGTGCAAGGAGGCTGCAAACTGCAGTGGGGTATGATCCCAAGAAGAAAAGGAAGAAGTGGAGAGACAGGTATTAGTGAACATGTCACTCTGCCCAAGACCTCTAGTCATCAAGCCAGATATGCATCATGGAGACAGAAGAAAAATAGGTTGGGTACTTTCAGTGAAGCTGCACTTATCTGCGTGAAGGTTTAACCTAACTTGTCTTTGCTTTTTTTCTCTATGACAGATGGTAGGTTGCCCTGAAATTGAGACCTCTCCTGGGATAACACGTGACCCACTCTCACCGCCCTCCTCTCAATTTGCAGACCTCACGGAGACTCAAACCGCCTTGGTATACCTCATTTATTCTATTTCCTCACGTCCAGCTCTCTTACTGCTTGTGATTTTAGGGTGTCTGTGCCAATGACATACCAAAGAGAGTGCCATGTGTTTTTTATTCCTCTCACGTGAATAGTTTAAAAATAGTTTTTTTAGCCTGGAATAAGTCGTATCATGATTAGTCTATTTCTCTCTTATCCAGGCAGATAAGGAATCTGGTTGGCTTTTCAAATTTATTTCCCTCTTCATTATCGTATGCCTGTTGGTCATTGGTTCATTCTCTTCCACCATGCTTTAACAAGGACTAGAAAAAAGGTACAACATCAAGATGGCATCTATGTCTTCTTTAATTAAAAAAAAAAAAATTTTGGTAGGAACATTCACCCATGTCTAAAATCAGTATGTAAGGAGTATGAATTTTATTTTAATTCCTTTTTTCCCCCAAGTTTACCCTTATGAATCTTAGTTTCTTAATTACCACATATGATCAGAAGACTGCCTCTATAGACACCCTTCTTTTTAGTAGAGACTAGCTTACTAGAATGGTTTTCTGTATGCATTTGGTACAAGTTAGTTGAATCCCTCTCTGAAAAGTTACTCATGGAAGAATTTGCAGCATCTCATCTTGTGCGACACACTGTGGGTCACCCAGGAAAACCAAGGAAATGTAGAGTCCAACTTGTTTCGCCTTCCCAGGAAAGAGTATTGACCACAGCCGTCTTGTTTGACCTGATTTTCCCCAGGATTAAGCATTCCCTGTCACTTAGGTTAACACTACAGTTCCCAGCAGCCCACTGCAGACTAATGATGGAATGGTTGTGTTTCTAGCGGCCAGCGAATAAGGCTGAAAGTGGCCCATATGAGAAGACCTTGAAAGCAAGCCTGGAGCCCTCTGCTGAGTTCACCAGGGACCCCGGTCCCCAGGATGCTTTGGAGGTGGTATCCAAACTTTGCCTTGTCTGACACTCCTGATGGAGCCCAGGGGCCACCACTGTGGCCAGCCACCTGCTTGCATGAGCTGTCACCTCTATGTTCAGCCTCATTTTGTTGAGATAAGAGTCTGCCTGCCTCTCCTCGTGCTTCTGATCCACCTGTCTTCTGTCTGGTGTTTGCCTGGGGTGGTTGGTGGACTCTCTTTCCTGTCTTCAACGCTGGTCTTCATGTCCGTTCCCTCTTTAAAAGCTGTTCTGCAAAAATTCATTGAAGGGAAACAGAGGGGCTATGGAAATTAAGGCACAACAATCCACTTTCTGAAATGAAGAAAATAAAAGGTGGAAAATTTGGGGATAAACATTCGAATCCAAATCAAACATGCAAATGATTTCTTCTTTAAGGAGGAAAGATGTGTTCTTTCTGTTCCTTCCTCTTACGGATGATCTCATCTTAACTTGCATTCTCTCTGTGGATGCATTTAACAAAAGTAATTGGCAGCTTTTTCTTTTTCTGAGCTTGATCTGATAACACCATTTGGTCTTTAGGTAACGGTAAGTATAGCTCTAGAGCTAGGGGTTAGGGCTAGACTGAAGGTTAGTGTTACATATGTATTTAGAATGTGACCTAGTGTATTATAAATATTTTCATTCACCAAATGCTCAATCCAACACTCGCCCTTGGAGAAAATGAATGCCTTTTCTCATTGTTACCTCGTAAATCTCGTAAATGCCAAATGCAGTATTTTGGATTTATTTCTAGAGCTGTTAGTGTCAGTGTTTCTTCTGAAACTCCACTTGTGACAACACGTGAGCTTATCCCTTCAGCATCATGGGTGCTTGCATAAGGACTCTGAAGCTCTAGGAGTCGGATCTGTGGATATTAGCGGTTAGTGTGGCATAGGCGTGAGGTTGGGCAGACCTATCTTTGGCAGCTCAGCCATGTGATAGGTTTGGGATCTCAGGGGGATTCGATACCTTCTCTGAGCATCCAGGACATGGAGAGTGGATTACGCACCTCAAAGAGCTGGGGAAGAGGAGGCGATAGATTAGAAACCGTGGTTAGTGCCTGGGTCATAAACATTTCAGTCATTTGTTTGCTAAATGGGAGCACTTTGACCTTCTCCCTGCTATGTGTCTCCACTTTCCTACAGAGGATCCTTATTCAGCATCCTGTATAATACCCCACTTCATACAATCAAAGAAGCTATTGTTTGCTGGGATACTCATCTCTTGTTAACACAAATGTTGCAATCACCATGCAGTTTGGT